TAGTAGAATCTACTTTAAGAGTCTGTTGTGAGAATCAAGTGAAGTAATGAATGTCAAGAATTTATCTTAATGCATGGAACACCCCAAGTGCTCATTAATTTTTGGCTGCTACTGTTACTAGCCTTTTCTCTATAGCCTCCACTTATTGTGGGGAGAATTTAACATATATTCTTATGAATGAAAATGTAACAATAAAATACTGGTATATTCTTACATTTGACTTAATCTTTATGATGAGAAATTGAAAATTTCTTTAAATGCTTTTATACGAACTGAAAATCAATTATTTAAAAACTAAAAAAGAGCCCTCTAAACCTGTTATGAACATTGTACACAATACAAATTATTACTATTGACTTTATAATTAAAAAATTGGCCAGTTGGTTTGAATTCTAATCCTGGTTTGTTCACTGATTTGCATGTGACTGAGCAAATCTGTCCTTTTCATCTACATTGTGGGGAAACCAGCTCTTCCATCTTTTCTTAGTGCCTGCTCTGCAGCAGCGATTCAGCCCTGGGTAGGCTGTTGGAAGCTGCTTTACTCAGGCTAGGTTGATTTGGGCAGAGTTATGCCAGGAGGCAGGACTAGACCAGGGGCTTTTTGTAGGATCTATTTTCATATCATTTTACATGTGTCGCTCTTATATTTGACCAAAGAGAATATGTGCACTGTTTTAAAGCAGAGAGAAAGTATCAAGTATTTGGGAAGCATCCATCAGATATTTTAGAGGTTTATAATTGGTACCTATGTTTATATGTGTTGTTCTCTTATAAATTTAGAGAGTCCTTGCAAAATTTCTGAGAAGCATAGAGGAATGATTTTGCTGATGAGAAACTGAGATACAGAAAATTTAATCTGAAGTAAAAGTCTTTACTATCTGGGTCTCTCAGGCCAGAATGGTTTCCAACTAGTATGTGGTGACAGATGTAAAAGTATCCTAGATTTCTTCATGTATCTTTGCCATTGTGGAAGGTAGGGGTGGAATCCAAGTGGGAACAAACCCTAGTTGAAAGTACAATGGGGGCTTAAGAATTATAACTGAATGGGAAAGACTTAGGCAGATAGAAAAAGGAGAGGTTGGAGAACATAGTGCTTCCTATCTTTGCTTTGTAGTGCAGACTGTGGAGGTAGCCATGTTTGCTCTAGATTTAAGATTTGAAATTTCCCTAAAGAAAATAAAATATAAGCAGTCCAAAAGAGATTTTTAAAGAATATATGAAATTCCCACCCGTTATTTGTGAGGAGAACTTTGATAAGGCTTTTGGTTTTCATCAGATTGCAGATTAGCTCATGCCTGGGTTAAGGCTTGTCTGATTAGACCTCCTGTAGAGAAACCTGTATTTACTCTAAGGAGAGTATTAAGTTGAAGAGGCTTGAGCTTCCTTCCTTTCCATTTGACTATTTTAACAAGGACACTCCAAAAGCATGTGTTTATATTCACCTCACTGCTCAAATTAAGATTATTGATAAAGGCAGTGTTACCTAAATTGTTTCAAGAGGAACAATGTTGTTGAAATGTTGTGTAAATATAAGGAAGATACTGTTACTTCCTCAAAAAACTTGTGATGTCATTTGTATCACACATTTGGTCCAGCACTCACAAGTCAATATCCTTCCCTATGGTACAGGGACTGGAATTAAAATGGGTCAGATGAATCCAGAACCTGAGTTACTTTAAAGTAGTTTTCATACCTGATTGCATATTAGAAGTACCCAGTTAGCTTTTGAAAAATAATTCCTAGACCCCCACCCTCAGAGATTGATTCATCGATAGTAACTGACCTGGATTTGGACCAGCAGGTGCTCTTATTTTTCCACTAGTAGTAACTCAATCTCCCAAAATAGTCCACATCTCAACTCCTTACTTTATTACTGGTGCTCTTAAAACCAGTGCTCTTTACCTGCATGTTTTTGTTGTTTTGCTGTTATTCTGGAAGAATGGCTGTGTGATTGTGAGCGTTCAGTTTTGCATAAGACAATAGTTGCTTAGCCAGACATCTTTCTTTGCCATCGGAGAAAAATCAAATGCCTATCTTTCTAACAGTAAAATTCCCTCTTAATTACTTAGTCCTTAGTTCCTTTTGTTCAGCAAATATTGTGTGAGCACTTGTTATGTGCTAGGCACAGGTCTGGGTGTGAGGGATACGCTAGTAAAAAACAAGCTCCTTTATGTTCTCATGGAGTTTATTTCCCACTGGTGGAGGAAATAGGCAGAAAATATGAAAAATAAGGAGTTAAGCCATTTTTTTTAAAAAAGATTAAACCATGTTTTTGCTAGAATTTAATTATTTGCATTCAGAACCATTATATTTTCCTTCCAGATACAAGTTAATGCTGGTGAACCCTATCTTGGAGGTTCCCTTTCCTCTGAAAATAGCTGTTAGAGCTTTCACTGTCTCCTCATTTTTTTTCAGCATACTAGAGCATAATATGAAATGGTAAAGGACAAGATAGATTTTGAAAATGTGCTTAAATTTAGATATGTATATTTACTGTGGATATTAATATATTGTTTTTACTGTTGCTGTCTTATGAAAAAGCCTAATTAAGTTATTTTTATGTACTTAATTCATCTTGTGAAATATTATATACAAAAAAGTGAATAAATATACACTAATGTAACCATCACTTAGGTCAAGGAATAAATTATTTTTAGCAACCCAGAAGCCCCCTCCTCCATGTGCTCTATCCTGATCATAAATCTCTTCTCGATTTTGTAACTATCATCTTGTGTTTCTTGAGCATCATTTCCTTGCTTTCTCCTTTATAATTTTACCTCTGTATGCATCCCTAAGTGATATACTTTAATTTTGTGTTTGAACTTCGTATGTGTACTTATACTCCATTTTGTTTTGCTTTTTTTCCCTCAATATTATGTTGAAGAATCATCCATGTGCTATGTAGCTGGTGTTCCACTGATTGAAAATACCATAATTTACACATCCTATTGATGGACATTTGGGTTATTTCCAGTTTTTGGCTAATATGAACATTGACCATTTTTGTTCATCTCTTCTGGTATATATGGGTATTTCTTAGAATTAAGTCAAGGAGTGGACTTGCTGTCATAGGGTACGTTAGTTTTAGCTTTACTACTTTTTTTTTTTTCCCAAAGTGGTTTCACAATTTACACTTAACTGACAGTTTGTAAGTTCCTGTTGCTCCACATATTCATGAATACGTGAATGTTTCTGAATAGTTATTCATGAAAAAAAGGCATTAACACACACACACACACACACACACACACACACACACACCGCCTTTCCACTTCTTCAAACTTGAATCTCTGCTTTCAGAGAAGTCACTTCCCAGAGGTAAAGTAATAGAAATAATGAAGAGTTCTTGGATTGTGTAGGCAACATCTTGAGTGCTTCACATGGATTATCTCAAGTAATCTAACAAGAATGCCAAAGTAATAGTTCCTTTATGATTTCCAGTTTACAGATAAAGAAATTGAAGTTCGGAGATATTAAATAAATAACTTCAAGTCATTTAACTAGAAATGAGCTACTAAAGACACAAATTCAGGTATTTGCCCCTGAAGTTCAAGCTCATGGTCATCATGCTTGCTTTTTTCCTCTTTCAAAATATCGATATGGCTCTGGTAATTGATCCTTAAAGAATGGATCACTTAAAGAAAGCCTCCCTTTCCACTTTCCCTAGGATAGAGGTGCCAGCATTGTATCTGCCTTAGGAATTAACACAATGAGAGAAAGGGTGGCGGAGCGGAAGAAGAATGGAAGGAATAACTTTTGTGATCTTGGGTAGACCTTTGAGGGGGTATGTTCATACATTTAAAAAATGATGAAAATGGGGCATTGCAATTCCTCCCTCGTGATCTCTCCACTGCCTTTCCAGAATAGCTGAGCCACAACTTCCCTGATAAGATTTTTGTCCGATACTCAGATAAGAAATGTGCTAATACTATGTTGTAAACTTCGTTTGAGCAAGCTCAACGTCGAACGGAAAACAAAACCCTTACATCAGCCATTACGAGGTCCCAGAAACGGTAAATGTTGTAGCCTGAACTCTTCTTTCCCTTGTTACTCTAAAATAACTTTATCTCATTTAAAAATTACTGTAAATAACGTCATAATCGTAAATCACAGCTGCGGTGCACAAATGAGATAGGAGTGAAAAGGGCTCTTGTAGTAGGCATTCTGGAATTCTGTAAATGATATTACCATGGAAAGCCTTTTGCAAGTGTCTGGCTGCCCGAAGAGTGGTCTTTTTCTTATCAGTGGACTAGTAAATAAATAGAAATTGGCTTTATTAGAGCTATTGGGACTATTGGGACTAGTATGCAAAATGTAGTCAAAAAGCAGTCACTCTCGAGTCCAAGCAACCCTAAGCCCTGCTGCTTGAGGAAGGGGTTGACGGAGGGAGGGCTGCTCTGGGCCTCGGTTATGTGAACGGAGTGTAGGCTGGCTTCGCGGAGGTAACTGAGCTGGCCACAGACACCGCAGCTGCCCAACCCTTCCAGGCTGTGGAGCTTTGATTTCTCTGCCCTGATCTCAAGGATGTCCATCTTGGACAGGGCAAGTATTTCTCGGTGGGACTCTTCCACAAGGGATTCGTTTTATTAGAAGAAACGTAGACAAGAGGGTGTATGAACTTCCTTGTTTCCCGACTTCCGCCCGTCCTCCAAGGGAGGGGCGTTGGAGTTGCTGAGCGGGAGGTCGGGCCTGGGCCTGGCCACGCCCCGGGCTTCCGGAGTTTGGTACACAACTCCAACTAGAACGCCTTCCCCAAGGCTCTGCCTCAACGTGCCATTTTCAGTCAGTTCCTCAAGCGCATTTCCGGCCGCCCCACCGGAAGCTGGAGCGGCGGAAACCTCATCTCCGAGGTGGATCCCGTGAGGGATTTAGGTGAGGTCTCGCGACATATCTTTAAATCTCACCAAGAAGGAGTGGAAGAGGCCTAACTGTACCGCCCCAATGTTACGTCACCGCGGAGTCACGCCCTTGGGCGTTCGTTTGCGTGCTCGCGCTGCTGCGCATGCGCATTCGCCCTCCCTTCTCCCCCGCGCTGTCTTATCTCTGGCCAGTCGCGCGTGGGCTGAGGCCCTGGGCGGGCGTTGCGAAGGCTTGTTTGCTCGAGCCGGCTCCCCGCGGCAGTTTGGAGTTCTACTTGGGAGAGGGGTTTGTAGACCCCCTACCTAGGGTGAATGGGCTGTCGCATGTGCTGCTAAGGGTAGGCTAGGGAGCACAGGGGCCGGGGCCGCGGCCATGAACTCACCCGTGGACCCTGGCGCTAGGCAAGCGCTGAAGAAGAAGCCGCCCGAGCGGACCCCCGAGGTAAGGCCGGCCGACTCCGGCGCGCTTCCCGCTCCTTAACGGACTGCACACCCCTGTCCGTCCGAAACCTGCGGCGACTGCCCTCTTGTCAGAGCCTCGCACCTGCTGTCAGGATATCTGTTCTCTGCGTTCCCCGACCCGGGCCCTTCTCGCGGGCGGGTGACGGACTGCCTTTCCTGCTTGTGATGCCGCCTTCCCCGCACACCCGTCCTTGCCGGTGACTTCCTGGTGTTTTCGATAAGAAAGGACCATTTACTAAATCATTTTCTCAGGGCAAAGTGTGGGTCTCTGAGTGAGTTTACCTGGGGGTAGGAAGACTGAAAAACGAGGTAGAAATTGTAAGTGAAGTGTAACAGCATGTTATTAAGAAATAACTTCTCTTTAAAGGTCCTCGAAATACTGCACAAGTGCCTAAAAAAAAGTTTTCAAAGTCAGTTTTAAACTTTGCATCTAGTCAGATGATGAATTCTGATGGAGGATGATGCATATTGAAAGATCAGTTCTAGAGGTACTTTTTCAGACTGTCGCTGGGAAATTTTACAGTATTTATATTGGGATCCAAAACTTGCTGTTTTGGGTTAGCAGATATGGCATCAGCTTAAATGATTTTCATTTGACCTGAGGGCTAGTTTTCAGGCACATAGCTAAAACCTGTTAACCTTGCATAACCCTATAGAGTGCTTAGATGTTTGGGGAAGATTTTTCTTGATTTGGAGACGTTTATATTGTTAAATGTATGTTTCCTAAACCAGAAAGCAACAACTAAACACAGTGTGAATGGATTGTTGGATTGTTTTTTTGCGTATAAGTTGCAATAAATGAAAATGAAAAGCTTTGGTTAATTCTTTTGGAATCACTTTTCGAATTTTCAGATTTATAGTGTTTTTCATGGTAGGTCTCAGTAACTTAGGGCTGACCTTTTGTGACATGACATTATTCAAGCCACAGTTGTACCTTTGATAGGTCACACTTTGTTGTTGGAAATCCTGATCTTTGCAAAGAAACAAGGCAAGTACTGCCAGTTTCCTAAATCCTTTTTTGAGACCTGTATTTATAATCCCATGTGTTTTAATTTTCTGTGATAATTCTTAAGGTAATTGTGAGCTAATTGAAAGCGTTCACCTTGAACAGGTGAATCTGCCATGGTTTTTATATCATTAGAAAGCATACAAGCCTTGCAATGTATAAGGTTAGTTTAACTTTTAAATATTACTTTGATAAATTCACATTTTAATGAGAAAATCCTACTTCTCTTTAATAGCAGCATTACCTAGTTTGAAATTACCTATTTTTGAGGCTTACAAGAATTTCTAAACTGTTCACAAACTTATGTTGCCAAGTGTGTGTGCCTTTAAGTACTTTATCTGGTTTTACTGGAACAGCAGCATTGTTTAAAGGACTGCTAAATGACTGCCCATAGTACCCAGACTAAGTCCCTGACATCTAGCAGCAGAGCATGTTAACTACTTAATTCATTGGCAGTGCTTTTGAATGAGTGTAGAATTTGGGGTAGAAAAGTATTAATAAAGAAGTAGTAATCTGTATCCTAGTGATAATTTATATGCGGTAAATAATTTGATGAAATTCTCCTAAGTTCATTTCTGTTTTCAAAAACTCCTTATTCTTTTAGTGGACTCTTCAGGGCCTAACATAAATATATTCCACAATTATTTATCGAAAGCTTATCAGTTTAAGGCACTATTCTGTGCACTAGGATACACCTGAACAAAACAGGCCTGCTGTAGTGCTTACATTCTAATAAAAGGGGGAGGGGAGAAGGCAGGTAAATATAATAAACAAGTAAGTTATGTAATATGTTAGCTGATAATTGCTAATAAAAAAAAGTAGGATAAAGGGATTGGAAGCAAGGGACAAAGGCTGAGTTGCAATTTAAATAAGATGGTCAGTGGTGTGCTGGTAGAGATGACTTTTGATTAAAGACTTGATGCAGGTGATTTAATTAGCCAGGGGAATATATGGGGAAAGAGCTTTCCAAGTAGAGAGAGTAGTCACTGCAAAGGCCCTAAAGTGAGAGCATGTCTGGTTCATTCAAGGAATAGCAAGGGGCTCTGAGTGACTGACTAGAAGAGTGAACAAGGGTGAGAGTAGTAAGAGATGAAGTCAGAGAAGCGGCAGTGGTGGTACAGGATGGGGTATATATCATGTAAGACTTTTTAAACCATTGTAAATTCTTTGACTTTTATTTTGAATGAAAGGAGACTGCCAAAAGGTTTGAAGCAGAGGAATGATACTATCGTAGGTTTTAAAGAATCCTCTGGCTGCTTGCTGCATTGAGAATAGACTGCATGGGAGCAAGGGTAGAAAGAAGCAGAAATGTCAATTTAGAGGCTGTTACATTAAAGCAGGGAAGAGATGATCATAACTCAGATTAAAGTAATAGTAATGTAGGTGGTGAGAAGTAATCAATTATGGAAATATTTTGAAGGTTTAGCCAACATAACTTGCTAATGGGTTAGATATATGCTTTGAAGGAAAGAGAGGAATCGAGCATGGTTTGAAGGTATTTGGCCTGAATTACCATCAAAGAGAGCGTGAGCTGCTGCTATCAGATAGATGGAGAAAGCCGCAGGAGGAATAAGTTTGGGGAGGGGGTCGGGAATCAGAAATTCAGTTTTGAACATGTTATGTTTGAGATGTCTATTAGAAATGTTGAGTAAGGAGTTGCTTTTACAAGTTTATATTTCTAGAAAGAAGGTTTGGTGATATAAATTTTATAGTCATTAGTTTATAGATATTATTTAAAGTCATGAGACTAGATGAAATTACCAAGGTAGTGAGTGTACATAGAGAATAGAAGAGGACCGAAGACAGTTCCTTGGGGCATTTGATCACTACAAAGTCAGAGGAAAAGAGCAGAAACCAGCAGAGTATGAGTGGCAACAAACAGTGCAGTAGAAGAAAATCCAAGAGAGACGTGGTGGTTTGGAAGCCAAGAGATAAAGTGTACAATAGGAGATACAGTTCATTCAGCTTATTTTTCCTTGAATACCTACTGAATACAAAGAAATATGAAAAAATATACAAATAGATAAGAACCAGTGTCTTATAATTTTATAATTAGATGTTTGTATCATATAATTAATGAATAAAGAACTCTTCTGTTTTTGGGACAAAATTAATGGTTCCTTTATTTTGAACTGTCTGTTGTCCTTACATGAAATTGTCAACTCAAGCATAATCCTGGTGATCCAGACACAGCGTAGAAACATGTTGTAAAGTATGCGATTTAGTACTGTGTTCTAACACAGTTTTTATTTTTCTGGCCATTTCTTCTACTTTGTAGATCCAGCTTCCACAACATTGGCTTTCCTGAGCTAGTTCTCTGATTTCCTTTTCCACTTTGCAAAGATTTTTTTAATGGAAAATTTTAGACTTTGAGACTCTGTGGGAAACTTAGTGCTCTAAAACAACAAAAACTGTTAAGGTATTCATTTTGAGTCCTTACACCAAAATTAAAGATGCACAGTCAAAATCGAGACCTTGGATTTGGCTGTTTGTCAGTTCAGTCTGTATCCAACACCATTCTTTCTCTGTAACCTTTCTGTCTTTTTTTTTATTTACTTTTTGGCCTCTGAGTTCCTTATTGCTCTCTTATGGTTTATTTCTCTAAGTGCTTAATATCATGCTTTGCACATATTAAATGATCAGTAAATATGTTGAACAAAACAAAATTTTGAAATAATTTTGTAAAGTACTCATGTCAAAAAGGTAACACTTTTCTTCATTAGAACTGCTGATTTTGTATATCTAGGTAGATTGAGTTGGCAACTTCAGTTAATTTTTATAGGCTGACAGTTAGGACTGTGTAGTCCATTTTACCCCTTTTCACATGCTTCAGATCCATGTATCTAAGCACTAAATTATCCTCCAGGTTCTTCAATCACCAGTCCTAAATTGAAGCTGTCATCATTCCTCCTCCTCAATTTTCTGTTGGTGACTGCCCCAGTTGCTCAATCCAGAAATTTGTTTTCACTCTTGATTTACCCGCTATCTTTTTCTCTATATCCAAATGGCTGCTAAACTTTGTTGATTTTATGTCCTGAATCTCTCTCTGCCTCTTCCTCTACAGCTCTGCTACCCTAGTTAAATCTCTCTTACTGTTTTACTCCTGAGTTTTTTTCTTGAGTCATTTTATTTGTCATATTACTGCTAGAGTGATCTTAATACTCGGATCTGATCATGTTCTACTCTTGCTCAGAATTATTTCCCACTGCCTAGATAGGTAAGTAATATAAGTTATATAAATCATTTTGAGAATGAAAGAGGTACTGTTAATATTTATGGTAAATAACAGGTTAAAAAGAGACTGTCTCAGGTAAACTGAAATGTACATTTACTTCACCCAGATGGTAACATTAATTTATCCATTCATTTAACAAATGATTTATCAGACACATTACTAAAAGCCAAGGTTGTAGAAGGAAATCGGACATAGTCTCTATTCGGTGACTTAAGAGACAGACATGAAAACATTAGTAAAATGTTAAATGACAAATGTATGTACAGGGCACTTTGAGACAGCAGGTGAGGAAAGGCTTCTTGGAGAGCATTAAATTGATTCTTAAATATTGTGAATAGCTGTCTGGATGATATCCAGAAGGGAGGTCATTCCATGCAGAGCGCAAAAGGAGCAAAGGCATGAATAGTGGCAAGCCAGGTACATTTGTGGGATGAGACACCTATCTCAGTCGAGAGCATGCATTCCCAGTGAGGGTGATGTCATTCCCAAAGTGACAAACATTGTTTTTTAGCGGAAGTGAAAAAGATTTTAGATATTACTATGTGATTTGTCACACTCTAAAACTCACCCTTACTTGGGAAAATTTATTTCTTAGTATTTAATTGGGTGTGAGGCAGCAATTAGGAAAAAATGTCTAAAAATGCTCTTTGGAAGGAGTGCGATAATTTAAAAAGGTTGCAAAACACTGGCTAGTGTATGGGGTGTTGGGGGTGGTGAAGGCAGTACATGGTGTTAGATG